AATTCATAGAAGCTTACGCAACTATATAAGTGCAAAATAGAATAGTAACAAATATAGTATATAATTCACAATTCATTTCATTATAGAATATGGTAAATGTTTTACAGGGTGATTCAGCTTATGTAGAACCAAACTTTTAGTTCGTACCGAACATTCTCCCCCTTTAAGAACGGATGTTCTTAACTCTGTTCTGCGGAGCGCTGGTTGGAATTTTGGTGATAAGGCTTCGATTCCGTGGTGGGCAGGATACAAAATGTTCGTGATAGGTTGTTTTACTAACTTCCCGTTGCACAAAAATGTTACAACTCTCACCAAACCGTCAGTTCCAGGGTGAAGCTCATGTATTTTTGCTAGTGGCCAGTAGCCGGGAGCCCTACGGTCATGCATTAACAAAACTACGCCACCGACAGCAGGATTTCTCTTTTGTTGTGTCCACTTTGTATGCTTTTGAAGAGTGTGCATATACTCATCGGTCCATCTGTGCCAGAAATGTTGTTTAAGCCGCTCCACGAGTTTCCAGCGAGAGAGTCGATCGATATTAGTGTCAAGTAAATTCTCTTCTAAAATGCATGTATCTAGTTGGCTCACCCATAAGAAAATGAGCAGGTGTTAGTACCTGAGAATCATCTGGGCGTTAAAGGGCACAATGGCCTCGCATTTTGGCAATTCTCAATTTGTGTGAGTAAGGTGCTCATTTCTTCATAAGTAAGTGTACGATCTTTCATTACGTGACGTAAATGATGTTGAGTCGACTTCACACCAGCTTCCCATAAGCCTCCGAAGTGGGGAGACGCAGGTGGTATGAAGTGCCAGGTTGTACCTTCGTTTGCTAGTGCCGCTGCTAGATGTTCAGTGAGCGCTGCTTTCTGATTTTTAAAGTAATTTTGCAGTTCTTTATCGGCGCCCACGAGGGTAATTCCACAGTCGGAGTACAAGTCTGCACCTCTTCTGCTAACGAATCGACGTAAAGCTGCGATAAAAGCGTCGGATGTAAGACTTGAAACTGCCTCCAAATGAACTGCCTTGGTGCTCATACAAACAAAGAGGCAGATATAGCCCTTTGAAGTGGTTACTTTACAAGCTGTTGATTGCTTTATGGTTATCGGGCCTGCATAGTCTAATCCGCTATGTAGGAATGCTTTCGATGGCTGAAGCCGAACAGCCGGTCAATTTCCCATTTGTTGCTGGTGTGATTTAGCGGTATATTTAAAACATATAACACATTTACGAAGCACAGAGCGAGCTAGAGAGCGGGCCGATAGAATCCAATAGCGACGCATGACATACGACAATATCAATTGAACTCCTCCATGTAAAGTTTTATGATGAGCATCTGTAAAAATAAGCAACGATAGTGGATTCGTTTTTGTTAACAAAATGGGATGTTTTTATCAAACGGTGCCTCTGCCTTGCTTATTTTCCCTCCACCTCTCAGTATACCTCGAACATCAATAAAAGGTGAAAAATCTAGAAATTAACAATTTTTGGGCAACGGATGTTTATTCTCCAAGCAACTCATTTCATGTGCGAAATCTACATGTACCGCTCTTATAAGAATGTTCAGTGCACGATTAAGTTCATATGTCGTTAGATAGTCTTTCTCTATATAATGTCCCT